AGGGGGCTGCCCGCACACAGCCGAAGCGTCAGCCATTTCTGGCCGGCAACTTTCAGCATCATTAAGCCGCTGCGCCACCGCGTCCCCCATGAGATAATAGATAGTATTATATAGATAGCAGCACTGTATGCAAGAAGTAAGTTAACTTGAAAAGCCTGTACAGTATATGTTACAAAATATTTGTGGGGTAGAGGACGTGCTGAGAGTTCATGCATAGTATTTCTCCATTACCTTACGTGAACTGAATGTATACCCAGTGGCTGCATTTGTACACCGTACTAAGCCATAATATGGTTTAGCAGCATGCTTGTACATGCTGCTCAAATTGTGCCCACTGGCTGCTCCTTGTGAGCCAGCAAAGCTGATGGTCCAGTAGTGAAAGGAAGTGCTAACACTTAATGTTTAATTTTTTATTCCTATGCAGCAACACCAAAAATTAATTTCAGTATATAGATTTAGCAGCTGCTAATTTTGAATGTATTGTTTTATTGCATCTTTGTGTCTATTTTTAGCTGAATTAGTTGCCATAGGGTGACTCATACATTTGAGAAATAAACTGCAGAAGCTTTCATTCTCTTAGAATAAACCACCATCCCATGTTCATACATGTTAATCAAACTGGATGGAGCCACCTATGATCGGTTAGCCCTGTTTCTTTTTATGAAGAGCTGGCAGTGTTCTTGAGTAGCATGTGTGAACTACTATGATGCTTATTCTTTTTGTGGCTTTTTGTGCTGTGTGAACCAGCCCAATGTTTTTGCATGGCAGCTTTTTGTAGGAGAACGCCAGTATAGGAACTGCCTTACAGGTATGTTCTGCTGTTATTGATCTTGCAATAACAAGTATTCCTCAGTTTTCAAGAAAGCTGGGATTCCAAGGAAAATCATTTGTAAACTATTAATTTATAGATCTTTGTAATACATCTTAGAAATATGCAACCAAATAATCATCTAACACCAGAAAAGTTCTTAAAAATCAAGCACAGTCTTCCAGATCATTAGTGGAGCACCACATAAAAGGTTTTCAAAGCCACGAAGCTAATAAATTAGGAGAGGTAACCAGCATTGTTTCTGTGTTTTGGTGTTACATCATCTTGTTTTTCCATTCTCAGATCTGGCATCTGTCACTTCATCTGGTCCTAGAAGTGCTGGGTCACCAGGGCACCAAGGAGATTCAAGCCCACTTACTGAGAAACATACAGTACGAGTGACCCAGCGAGAAGGTATGTAAAACAGAGGTGAAAGCAGTTGCTTTTTGTGAGCAAAAGTGTTTCTTCTGGTGAAAAATTGGCAGTCTAGCTTTGCCTCTTTACTTAGGCTGGTGGACTGGTTCGTAGTGCCTGCTCATTTAAAATCTGCAAGATCAAGCAATTAATTTTCAAGAGTAAATCCCTAATTGCAATATCTCAGCCTCCTGTGTATGGCGTAGGTTTATGGTTCAAAATGTCCTTTCCTATTGGACAAGGGGGGAATTAAAAGGGGTGTTAATTGTAGTGATACTATTCTGTTCCTTTAGGTGGATCTCCACGTAATAGTCTTGAAGTTTTAACCCCAGAGGTTCCTGGTGAGAGGGATCGGGGAAACTGCATTACATCACTGCAGCTCCATCCCAAAGGATGGGCTACACTTCTTCGATGTTCAAGTAACACTGATGATCAGGAGGTAAAGTAGGGTGATGGTAATGGTGCATATGTATGTTGATCACTTCCTGTTCTTGCAGAGTGACTGAAGTTCTCTTGTCTATCAACAGAACAGAAGTGAGTTGTCACTCCACTGATAAATTATTAGAAATACAGGACAAATGTGGCTGTGTGGACAATTGTAATCTTTAGTTGCAGTATTTGCTTCATACATTTGGAACAGCGCATGATGTGTAAACTTAGCTAGGATGAATATGATGCAGTTGAGCATCTGGTTCATTATTTTGCTTCATTCTCATCATCTTCCAAGATGATGCCATGTTCTCCTTTGTGTAATGACTGAAGGGCAAGGAGAAAATCATGCTCTGAGCTTGTTTTGGTTCCAAGAATTCAGGATAGACAAAAGGAAATATAGTTCATAATGAATTGAGTATAATAGCGCAGATGCATCAGAGCCTAGTAGCTTAGGTGGCTTTAAAAGAGACTAACAAATTCACAAAGGACAAGTTTTTGTATGAGCTCAGTGGTTAAAAAGAAATGTCTGTTTCATAAACCATATTTTTCTGAAGACTTCCCTTACTACACTTAGGCAATTGTTTAGCCATTAAGAAAATGCTGAACTCAACAAATTACAGCCATAATTTACAAAGCATTGCTATTGCTTATGCCCATATAATTAACCATAACATGTGCACAGTTATGCTAAATGAGTCTAAGTGGCGGCATGTAACCAATCCTGGCTAATTTAGAAAGGTTAAGAAGGGTCAGGTCTGGTTAATATTTAGTTGGGAGACAACAGGGAAGCACTATGGTAGGCTGTCCATATTTTACAAGAATGCCTCCATGAAATCACTTCGGTCAAACTCCACTCAAATGAGACTTTATTCTATCTATCATCTATCTATCTCAAAATAATGCAAACATATTGATACAGACTAAATGTAATTTTTAATTTATATTCTCTTTTTCCCTCTCTCTATATATTGATATTATATATCAAAACATATTGTATGCAATATCTATATTGATATAACATTAAATGTTATTTTTCCCCCTACTTTCTGTTAGTGGACTTGTGTTTATGAATTTCAAGAAGGCGCACCAGTGCGGCCAGTTTCCCCTCGCTGTTCCCTCCGATTGACTCATTGCATCGAAGAAGCCAACGTTGGCCAGGGCTATATTAAAGAACTCTGTTTCAGCCCAGATGGTCGAATGATCTCCTCCCCACATGGCTATGGAATCCGTTTGTTGGGGTTTGACACCCAGTGCAGCGAACTAATTGACTGCTTGCCCAAAGAAGCCGCCCCCTTGCAAGAGATCCGCTCACTCTATTCACATGGCGATGTGGTTCTGACTACCAAGTTCTCTCCAACACACTGTCAGATTGCCTCTGGGTGCCTTAGTGGTCGTGTTTCGTTATATCAGCCAAAGTTCTAGGCTTCTCTTGCCTTTAGAGGAACATCTTTTTTTTAATTACTTCAGTTTAGTTGAAGTGTTTGTTTTTTTAAAAAATCTTGTAAATTTTGACAAGTACGGAGTTAACATTGGACTGAAAACTGATCCAAGTCCAGTCCTTTATGCGTGCTGTGACTCTGAATTTGCACATTAGACTTTTTGTGTACTTTCTTTCTCTCTGCTCCTGATAATTCCATCTGTATTTGGATGTAGCTTGGTAGCACTTGTAAGCCTTGTCTTTCTATGTGACTCTTCATGCAAGATGTTGGATGGACTTGAAAGGAGGGGAACAACCAGCCAAAACCTGTCTGCTGCTTTGTATCAAAGGAGCTGGATGTCAGCTCACTTGGCTTCTTTGATTTCTGGCTTTTGCTGTATATTTTCTTCTAAGTAATAGAGCACTTTCTTGCACACTAGATTAATTATAGCCAGCATTTACATTATTTTTTCGTGAACAACTCAACAGACTGTTATCAGTACTTTTTAGTATTTTTCTGCTGTGGTTCAGTTTGTAGGCTGGTACTCTTAAGAACTGTGCAGTGTTAATTATCACTCTCTGCTCCCACACACAGACCTCTCTCATCTAGGACCTTCCTTGACTTGCTGGAGAAAGTTTATTAGGAACTGAATAACTTAACATCTTGCTTTTACAAATTTCTCTTAAAGGAGCATCTTCTATAATATTATTGGACATAAATTGGAGAGTGGAGTATGTGCCCAACTATGTATATTTACAATCCAGCAGGGAATTTTCCTGCACAAACCTCAGTGAAATGAGTAGGAGCTTGTAAGCGAACAAGCTCTGGTGGAGCTTTAAATGAACCTTTTGCTCATTTAAAAGAGGCTGGTGCTGGGGAACATCCTGAAGCTTTGTGTCCTCTCTCTTGTGATGGGTTTCATCGCAACAAAGGACTTTGAAATTGAATAAAATCCTTTTTTAAGTGTCAAATTTTAAATGAATGCTGCTCAGTCCTGTATTTTATGTTTGCAACATGATTAAGGCTAGTTGGCTATTGATGTGCCTTGCAAGCCACTCACGTATGCTATAGCATGTAAAAAAAAAAGTAGTGCACACCTTAGCACCATATGTTGCAAGATTATAGATAATAATTTTATGTGTGTGTGTGTATATAAAATTATCACCAGCTGTATATGAAGATCAAAAAAATTTGCAAAAGTAATATATTTTCTTCTGTGCCAATAACAACACATTTTACTAGCATATTTGCATGTGACAACATGCCATAATAACATGGCAGTGACTCTCCTGAAGATGATTCAGAAAGTCAAAAGTCCTGCTGTTGCCCAGCAGTGGCATAAGCAGAATTCCTTGTACTAAAGGATTGCTGAATTTCCACTGAACCTGAGATACACAGAATAAATATTAGTCGTGGGTCAGTTTCTGCAGGACATGCAAAATAGAGTGACAGATCACTGGCTCCCTGGAATTTACATGCAAAGTGATCAGTTAATTGAGAGCCATTCTGAGACTTGAAGGTCTTGTCAGATTCCCATTCCTATCTGTTTAAAACATCTGAAGCTCATCTGCATGGCAGTTTCTGTCTAGTAAAGAAACCCTGGAAATGGATATGATTGGATGCCTGAATTATAATTTTTTTAAAAAGTGATTTTTCCAGTTGAAGGACAGGTTTCATGAGCAAGTAGCCACTATGCAAGTTGTTCTGAAAAGAATGCCAAATACAAAATAAATTCATAAAATCGCTCAGAAAAATATGTAATGTTGGATAATAGATGTCTACAAATGCTGTTCTGAAAAAAGTGTGCTGACTGATTCTCAAAGTAGTTTGTGTAGCCGCTTTATGAAGAAACTTATGGCTTATGGGACTGGAATGTAGCTGTTGGTCCCCACATGTTCTGTAGATTATTTAATAGGTTGACATAAATATGAACAAGCCCAGCGCTACACTGTCTGGAATATAGCTTAAGTTAGACATAGGATGGAATGGCAAACGACACCAACACTTCTTGTTCTTCTGGTGATTCAGTCCTCATTTAATATTGTTCATCTTCAGAGTTGAGGTTCTAGCCATCCATTTTAATGGTTAGAATGATTTTTTTTAATCCAAAGCCTGCTCAGCCCTATATAGGTGTATATAAATGGTGCTTTTGTGTATGTGATAGAAAGGTAAACACATATATTGTAGATATGAGATTGAATACAATTTGCATTTAAAATTAAACACAAATCACTCTCTGGTGGATGATCTGAATTAGCTAGATATGCCCACATAATCAATTTTTCTTGATTGCTAAGATGAAATCAGATCTAAAATCAGTTTGCAGGTCAAGCAATGTACTCAGTGTGGTTTGAGTCCAATCTTACTTCATTGTTCTAATGTATTCTTTCCTTAAAATGTTTAGCATATTTGTATTCACGCTTCAATTTTATGTATTCCCCAAAGGCATTTTAAAAAGCAGCTGAGCCAGAAAACCAAAAAATAGAAGATGGCTGACTGTCAACTACTCTGGCTGCAGAGAGAAGTACTGTAGTCCCTGGTTTATCATAGATAGTTACTTTGTAAATAGAAAATCTGTGGCTAGATCAATTCTTGGAATAGGAACTGGAGGAGAGGAGGTTGTCAAGGTTTCAAATGCATGGCAAAGCAAATAAGTAGAGAGCAGCACCACTGATACTTACTTTGGTCCACCTACACATCGAGTGCTCTCGCTCTCTGAAGTCTCTCAGTGTAAGCAATTAAAACGTTCCTCTTCCTACAGCATATTGGTCCCTATATTCCTCTTCTGCTGCACCAGATCGATACCTGCACAATTTTCTGTACATATGTTATGTATTCCTGTCTTATATAACTGAAAATCTGGCCACTTGGTTGGGTATCTTGCACGGTTTCGTAAAATACATGCTCCTTTGTTGTGGAGGTTGGGGCTGGGATGGATGGATGGAGAAATATCTTTGTAGCAGTGCTTTTGTATACTGACTCCTTGTCTCTTCTTTTTCCATTTGAAATCTTCCAGTACAGTAGCTTCTTTTTAACATGAATTCTTAAAACTTTGGATATCCAATCAGTTGTAATTGTCTAATACTACACTTTGTGAGAATTGGCATATTATACAAGCACTGAGAACATTATTCTTAAATCCCATAATTAGCACTCATTGCATTTATAGAGTAAAAAGAGTTACTGTACTCGGTTCAGTCTTTGAGTTATATCTGTAGGAAATAAACCTAAAGCTGAATGAACTTACAGAATAGGAAGGAGATTCTTGATGTGCTAGATTTTTTTTTTTAATAGCAAAAAGATGCAAAGGAGATTCATGGTGCTTAAACTGCATGCATAGTACAAGCTAGTAGTTAGGATTCAGAGCTTTGTGTATATATGGGTTCTTAATTCCGCACTAAGAGAAAAATATATACATAAAATGGAAAATGCCCTTAGTCCAACTGGCAATTTGAATTCTGCTTATCTTTTATGCAGGATAAGGTTGATAAGGTTGCATAAAAAGTGATCTGGAGATTAAAAATGAGTGCTGTGGGGGTAAAAGTGTAGCTCCCGTGTTTTAGGCTGTTCCTGTGAATCTCTGAATCACCCATGATGAAAGGCTCTTCGACCAATCATAGGAAAGTTTGAGAAAATGAATTTCTGCATGTGCCCATTCACAAGTATAGTGCAAGCTTTAATTGCATAAAGTTCCAGGTTGCATCGCTGAATCCCTAGTTAAAAGAATCAAGTAACTGATGAAGAAAATTACTTCCTTTGATGTCCTGGAAAATTACTGTGATTTGGAGCAGTAGACAGTGTAGACAGACCAGTCTGAACTGATGCAGTTTTCTATGTTCTTGACGGTCAGCCTACATTTACCTTTGGACCTCTTTTCTGAGTACAAGATCCACAGGATAAGAAACAGGGTTTCTTCAGAGTTATGGTTCAAAAGAGCAATGGTTTTCTGAAATGGAGTGCCTTCTTGCTAATGTCAATCTTAGTACAGTTCCATGGCTTTAAAATACACTAAAATGCTTATAAAATTGCTGGTAAATGTCATCTCAAAGCTGAGTTGGTTGGTTGTGTTTGTGGATATGAACATGATCCAAAAAGGGTCAGATTGTGTGTGTATTTGGAATGAAGGAATCGGCTGCCTAGATGATACTAATTTACATAAAGTACAATCATAGTACTTTACGTAACAGTCTTCACTGTTACTGGCAAGAGTTGTTTGCAAATGGGGAGCTATATAAATGAAAGGAAGGAATGAATGAATCGGTATGAATGAATCAGTATGCTATGGTTTCAAAAATTATGCTCCAAGCCTCTAGGTCAAGCTTTATGTAACTTTCTCTGCAGATAGTATTTCAGTAAGCTGGATTCTTAAAAGTGTTTTTGTTCAGTCAACTTATTTTGATATTGCAAAAGCTTCTTGCATGGCAAATTTTAATCTATTTATTCATCAAACTCCTCAAATCCTGTCAGTGTAATTATAAACTTTCCCACACAACAAAATTTGGCCCAGTAGTAGGATTCTGCAACACGTTGTAGTATGCATATGGAACAATTACTTCCACAATTGCTTGCTTGCTTGCTTGCTTGTAGTCCATTGATAAAAACAAATTGTTTGCATGTGGCCTGTCTGAGATTAAATCTCTGGCATCTCCCATTAAAAGACTTAGTCTGGCATCTGATGTGAATGGCTTCTGCCTATATGAGGGAGATGGCATGAATTAGATGTAAAAAGAACCTGAACTGGATAGCTAATGCACTGACTTGATTCAAGACTTTTTCAATCATTCCTGTGGCTTTTGCAATCTAAGAGCCAAGATATTGACCCCAGTCGTTGAAAACAACCACCCCTCCAAGCTCTAAGACCACTTTCAAGCATATTTCTGCAACCATAAGAGCTAGAAATGTTTAAAAAAAAATGTTGGGGTTCCCAGGAAGCTGACATCTGAGCCCATAAAAGCATTCTGCACTTTCCCCAATCCCTATAGAATTCTAGCATGCAGCCATGAAGATGATTTGGTGTTTGGGTTACCCCAAACTAACCCTTCTTAAAGCTTTAAAAACCTTCAGTAGAAATTCAGAGAGTAATTGATTGTGGCTTGTATTTTTTAGTAGAGCTGAATTTACTGTATTGCAATCATCACTGTAAATTAAATACTGTTTGTTAGTATGCATTGCATTTTTTTAACATCCTACCTCATGGCCTGCTTTTCTTTAAAAACAAAGCTATGCTAATTTTTAAATTCATGTAGTTCCTTTTCAAAATGCCCAAGGCTAGCAGTGTAATAAAGAGGTTGATCGTTATCTTAGGCAACAGAGAACAGCCCCTTGAAGCAAAGCGAGGCTACTCAATATTCTGCATTTAGTGCTAGGACACTATGGTGTTCTTCTCCAATTCTGAGTCCTCCAGATGTATTGAATTACAACTCCCATATTCCCCACTCTCCATGAACATTGTCAGTTTTTTTAATCAGCGCTAGATATATTGATTTATTGCTTCAAAACCTTAATTAAGTTATATATTGAATGTAACTTAATTGCAGAAATGCTCAGTGACTTAAAACTGATCTTTCTGTCTTGTAGTTATCATCCTTAAAGAACATTTAGCGATGTTGGATTAGACAGTATTGCCACATAGCTTTTTAAAATGAAGCAAAATTTATAGCGGGAATGTTTCGAGCTTAGTTATTGTTTTGGCTTAATAGAAATTAACATCTGGCTTTGTAAAATCCTGAGAACAATCTCTTCCTTAATAAGGGAAAACTTACCTTAATTATAAACATGCAGCACTGAAAGTTAACACTGTTCTTATGCATGTGTTTTCAAAGATCCCCAGTAAATGTTAACTATAACTAAGATACTTGTTCATACCATTTTTTTCCTCTTTACATCCTTCATTTACTTACATCAACATCTTTTACATCTGTGGAATGTGAAGTGTGCCCATCTATGCTTTAAATGGATAGCTTTTTTTTTTGTGGATAGCTCATATTTAAATGGATAGCTCATATTTTTGTCCCATTGTATAAGCTGTAGAAAGCATGATATATCAGCCAAAGCAGATAAATTATATTTATTGACTTTGATACATTGATGCAAAAACATTGTAAGAGTTTATCAAAATACTACTGGTGTGTACACTTGTAATTGTTGCTGTTTGTACACTGAGTGCAGTAATATACATCAAATTTGAGAATTTTGTCAAATCTGAGTACTGTATTTATTAGGGGTAAAAAAAGGCTTCTACTTATAAAACATCGTAGCTCAGATTGTGAGAAAGCTGGTCATGTTTCAGTACTGTTGAAATCAGACTAAAATTTGTTGCATTGATTTCAAAGGGATATAGAGCACATATTAAAAGTGCCACATATTCCTGGTTCATAATTCACATTGAAAACAATCAGCTATGGTTGGTAACCTTACCTGAAAGACAGATGGCCCAACAAAATTGATCTACTGTAATGTACAATTATAAGGAAATGTCAGATGTTCCAAGACACATACTTGGGGATCAAAAGGTTGAAGCTCAATAATGTCTATAGGAACGGAGTACGCATTCTTGAACATGCCCTGGAGTTAATTTCTTGGCATGCAAATTAGTGTGGAAAGTACTCCTTGAGCATGAAAGCAAATGCTTTGACATTGCATACCAGCTATACATTGACTATCAGAACTGGCAGCTATTACATATTTTGCATGTTTTCTCTCAAATATTTTTATATTATAGGATGTCTCTGAACACTTGAATATTCTACTTTCTTTCAGCTTTTTGTAATGAATGTCAGGGATCAGATTGGTTTTAGCTCTAAAGAATGACGAAGGCTGCAATTCTAAATAAACATATTACGGAATAAATGTCATTGGATGCTACTGAACCTATTTCATAGACAGAATTTCATTGTAAGAATTAGCAGATTGAGATTTGATGAATTCTGTAAAAAGAATAAGATATTTTGTAGTTATTTTTGGGGGGGTGGGGTATGAATCTCAAAATATTAATCCTAGCAGTAGATTACACTTCTCTCTACTTATATGGAGAATAGTTGCATAAAAATCTACTTGTAGGTATTGTTTCCAGGTTCAGTCTAAAAATGGATTGGGTAGGAATTCTACATACAGTTATTTTTGGAGTTTGTGTTGAATTCAGGAAGACTTCCATGTAACCATGTATCAGATGGAGCTGACCGACTGAATCTAGTATAGAAGAGACAGCCTCCCTCCCTTTTAAAGATCATTGTGGAAAACTGTTGAGTGAAACTTGGAGACCAGTATAATGGAGAATTATTTCCCAAATGTCAAAAGAGAAGAGGCTGAAAAAAATGAAGACAAGTGAATGGATAGAGCTGAGATGTACATTAATCTAAAGCCAGTTCCATAAATAATTTGCATCCTATTAATTAATGGATTTGTTGTGACAGCTTATTTGTATACATTATCTTCCCATCTGGTGCAAAAAAATTCTTTTTAAATACAAAAGTACAAATTTGTGCATGTAGAGTATTTTGAAATTATTTCATAATAAAAGGTGTACATTTTAAATACATCTACAAGAACTGTCTAGAAAACGTATTTACTCTTACATGAGTGACATAAATGTTTGAACAATTTCTCTTGCTTGCTTAATAAACACTTCACATCCATACTCTGAATTAATTTGTTGCTTGTATTTCACTATTTAACGTGCAGTTGCATTTTACGCATCCTTTTTTAAAATCTGAATACTGTACAGACTAAATGCATACAGTAATGTAGATGGATGCATTTAAGTATCTTTTAGATACTCAAAATTATCAGTATTCAAAACCATATTTAAATAATCCCCTTTAGCATGCTTCAAGCATTGTGTTTCATGCATTAGCAGAACCATATGGTAAATTTTCCCTGGTCTATACTATATCAAGTGCCAGTGTGGAGGATTTTGTGTTTAATTCTCTTCCTCAGAAACTCAAATTCATCTATTATATAGTAGCTGGGTTCATACATAGCATACCATATTTGTTTTGTTTTAGCTTGATATTATGAATGAAAACTATTCAAACAATTATTAAGCAACCACAGCTTACTGAAGTGAGTGACCCAGCTAGTAAATACAACCAGGTCCCACTGACATCCACTGAAGGAGTGATTCAACTGCATACTGACATCATTTGTTTCTTCATTTAAAAAAAAAAAAGTTTGTTTCCGAGAAACCATCCTGGTATCCCTGGGCTAGGTGAGAAATTAATACAGAAAAAGAGGAAGATGCTTAGGAAAAATTATGTTCCTAAGTACCCATCCTATGGAAAATCCTATTTTTGTTCTATGTTGTATAGAAACCATTACAATAAAGTTGGATTTAATTGACATTTGGATTTAATAGACATCTCTTTCCGTACATTAAATCATATTTCTACTGTTGAGTTCAATGCAAATGGTAGAGAATTGGTTTTGTACCACACATTTCCTGGTGGTCTCCTATCTAAGCACTAATTAGATCTAAATGCTTAGCTTTTTTCAAGAACAACATTAGTGAGATGCTGCTAGTGCTGTTATGAATAAGCCTAATTGTGCTTATTTGGGTTTTACTTCAGCTGTTTCCACTTTGATTCCAATCCAACTGTGACCTTTGAACAAGGAGAAAAGGAGCATCGGTTTAAAATAAACCAATTTGGTGTTAAGTTGAAATTCAGGGTTATGATTTTTAACCTCTTCCTCCTCCCACCCTGATTTAATCCAAGTTATTTAAACTACTGTATTTAAACTACTGTTTTTATGGTAAACTGCCGCTGACATTGTGGCTCTCCCTGGAAGTATTCCACAGGGAGTGTCTTACAATAGGCTCTGAGTGAGACATAGGCATCCTTGAACCCTTCTCCATGCCAGCATAGGACACCTCCTGCTCTATTACTATTACAGTGGTACCTCTACTTATGAACGCCCCTACTTACAAAATTTTCAAGATACGATCAGCTCTGGCCCCAAAAATTTACCTCTACTTACAAACTTGCCTCGACTTACGAGCCATTTTCCACCCGTGCCACGTGGTCCGTGGCCATTTTTCCGCCCATTCCACGTGGTCCGTGGCCATTTTCCCGCCCGTTCCACGTGGTCCGCGGCCATTTTCCGCCCGTTCCACGTGGTCCAAGGCCATTTTCTGCCGTTCCACGTGGTCCGCGGCCATTTTTCCACCCGTTCCACGTGGTCCGCGGCCGTTTTTCCGTCCGACACACGTGGTCCGCGGCCGTTTTTCCGTCCGACACGTGGTCCACAGCCATTTTTTCCGCCCTGAGGCGTGGTCCGCGGCCGTTTTTCCGCCCGACACGTGGTCCACGGCCATTTTTCCGCCCTGACGTGTGGTCGGCGGCCGTTTTTCTGCCCCTGACGCGTGGTCCGCGGACGCCGGAACGGATTAATGGTAATTACATTGAACCTTATGGGAAAATTTACTTCGACTTGCAACCAACTCGATTTGCGATCAGAATCACGGAATGGATTAAGTTCGTAAGTAGAGGTACCACTGTACTTGTTTACGTGTAAGTTTCTTTCTTCACTGAGGGTGGATTCAGGCACAGGATGTCAGGGACAGCACTCTAATTTGAAGCAATTCATACATCCCCAAATCCAGTTTATTGTCCTGAGTGGCAGAGGAATTAATTTTCTCCCGTGCTTATTCTCAGAGCCAAATTGGTGTCCATTCCTCAGAACTTCAATTATCCATGCAGTAGAAATATTCAGCTAAAATCAAATTAGCAAATTTTAGTTGGGCTTGTATTATTAGAGAATTAGTCCTTTCTTCTTTGCTAGTAAAATACTCACCCTTTGCTACTACTACAGTTAACTGTATATGGAGCAACAGTCTTTTCCTACTTGCACCGAATCATACCACACATATGTTGTGGCAACCTCTTTTGTTGTTTGGTTATATTCCCATGGCATTGCCTTCATCTCATCTCCAGCTCTGTGACAGGCTTAAATGTTAAATGTCATCCAAGAGCAGCCACAAGAGCTATAAAATATGGGTTTTCAAAAATTTTTCAGGCCATGGAACTGGTTATTTAAAAAAGAAAGAAAGAATTCCAAGAACTTCTGATCAAAAGGCAAAGCACTAGTGATAGAAAACTGGCTTCATTTGAGTGAACTTTGTGTGGGTGTGTGCGTGTACGTGTGTGTGCATGCGTGCACTCTTACTTTCCCACAGAAGCCTCAGGGTTCTGCAGAAAAGAGTTTCAAAAACTCTGGTATAAAATCTAGTAGGCTTTGTCATTCATTACCAACTCATTAACCTGGAGGGAAGTCAGATGATTGCAATGAGTTGAAAAGAGGCAATGGGGCAGGGGGGAGGAGAGCAAATTTGATGCCAGTCTAGATTTCTGCTCTCACGAATGGATGCATAACACATTAACTCAGCAGTGGGAAATGGCTTGTCAACAGCAGATGAGTGGAGAGTTTGCACTATTAAATTAGCACGAAGATGAACAGCTACTTCTTTCCTTTTAGAGGTGTGCAATATTCAGGTGTGATGTAGGAAAGAACTGTCTTTTGTGGTCTCATATGGTAGCTGCACACTTCAGATCCTAATACTACAGACCTCCAGTCCAACTCTTTGCTCTGCAATCCACTAGAGCATCTCCAGGAGATGGCCTTCCAGACTGTTGAAATACTTCCAGGAAAAGATTCCCCCATTGCGGAACAGCTCCTTGGTAGGAAATTCTTCCTGATGTCCTATCAAAATCTGCTTTCTTGTAATTTAAAACCAGTTTCTGGTCTATTTTCTGAAATAATGCTGAACAAATCTACTCCATCTTCTCCATGGCAGTTATTCAGATACAGGTAGTCCTCATTTAGTGACCGCCTCATACATTAATCATTCGCAATTACAAAAAGTAATTTTGCGACCAATCTTTGCATTTATGATCTTTGCAAGTCTGTAAAGCAAAGGAAAGCTGAAGTAAGATTGTAAGCACAGTTGCAGTTTCACTTACCAACTGCTTCACTTAATGATCAAGTTGCCAGTCCCAATTGTGGTTGCTAAACAAGGACTACTTGTACTTGAAAATAACTGTCTTATCTTCTCCAGGCTAAACATTCTGAATGCTGCTAACCACTCCTTTAAGTTTTTCCTTCCAGGATCCTTAATATCTTGGTTATTTTCCTCAAAACATACTCCTATTCATCAGTGTCCTTCCTAAAATGCTGTGTTGAGAACTGGACCCACTGTTCCAGATGTGGTCTTACCAACTTGAACAGAGAGGAACAATGAATTATTATCCTGACACTGTACTTCTGTTGATGCAGGCTAGGACTGTGTACGCAGCTGCATCATTGTTGGTTCATGTTCCATTTGAGATTCACCAAGACATCCAGATCCTTTTCATATGTACTGTTGCACATCCTATACTCGTGCTTTTGATTTTTCCCATACAAATGAAGGGTTTTGCATTTGTCCTTGTTGAAACTGAGCTTGTCAAGATCTTCCTGAATCTTGATACTGATTTCTGAGGTGTTTGCTATCACCCCTTTGTGTCACTTGCAAATCTGATAATCCTATTTTCTAACCCTTGTCAAAGCCATTTATAAATATGCTAAACATTACAGAGCATCAAATGAGCCCTGGAGTGCACCAACTTGACACCTTCTTCCAGTGTAACTCAGAGCCAATGGCATACATTTTACACTTGTTGGACAAATTAACGTTATATTTTTATCCAACAGGCAACATAATTAATTTGGGAGTATTTTCTTGAAGACTGTGCATTCTTATTTCTTTTTAACTGGCTAGTTACAGGGGTAATCAATAACTTTATTACTAACACTTCCATCCTATTACTTAACTTTACCATCAGATGATGCTTAAAGCCATGAATATAGAAATAACCTATTTCACATAATGTTGAATTTAATAAAATAACTGTTTAGGGCCATCCTAGTTCAGCTTAATTAGCAGCTAATATATTGGTGTTGCTAGCTGAAACATTTCTTTAAAAAGCAAGTAACTTGCCTGAGCTTTACGTACAACCTAACATCCATGAGATATTAGATGTATCCAAAATAAGATTATTAAGAAAAAAGGCAACATCAACATGCACCCAATATCCTAACATTTGTAGAGGTAGGAAAAAGGGGATGAGCCTCATAACAGCCTAATGAGTACTGAGCATACTTAGAATAGATGTGGGTGCAGGGAGGAGAAAGAGATAGAATATCCTGAAAGAACACGTCTGATTGATATGAATTATGAAGAGGGGCAAAACACTAATAATGTCACATCTTGGTGCCAATCTGTCTGATACGGAACTTAGGCCCCTCTGTTGGCGAGCAAATGAGGCTTCCTCTAATAATGTGACTGTTTCTGCCACCCTGTTCTTTGGTACCCAGAAATATTTTAACTTACAAGTTAAAACAAAACAAAACTTTTGAACTACCTATGATTTCCAAAGTTTACAGAACACTGAGATTGTGGGTGGGAAGGAGGCCTGGCCGGCTTTTAAGACTGGGAGAACTCTGTCACAAGGCATTCCATTACCTACTCTTCAAGAGGAGGTTTAAGGAGGAAAATGAAATGTACAGTATAAAGCAGCAACTTTCTGTACGTGTAGAAAGCACTACATTGCCTATAGCTGACTCTGTCCAAATGGTTATAAAACAGTAATTATATTCTAGAGATATGCAAAAAAGAAAAATCTTCAGGTTGAGCTTAATTCTTAGTGATTTCAGGGACATGTACATGTAGTTTTCCTGACAGACATGGTTTATCCTAGCCTTCTTCCAGGACGTTTTCTCAATTTCTCAGTCTAGCCACTATCCCAAATATTTTCAGTGACTTCCCAACCAAATACTAACCAGATCAGACCCTGTTGAGCTATTTGAGCAAGCACGTGTTATTAGATGCTGCCACCTAATTGGCTGGAATAAGCAATATGAATTCCATCACCATTCTTGGGTTTTCTATTCTCATCTATGAAGTATTACATTGGGAGACTTCTGGGGAAGAAATGGCAAACTTGAAGACGGCTCTGCTAAAAGTGGACCTGGCAATTAGACCAGCTCTTTGTAATTTCTCTCCAGCCAAGGAGGGAACTTGAAATCACCCACAAGTGCACCATACCGTTGCTCCTCATGAGGAGACTGCAGGACAGCAGTCTTCAGCGGGTTTAGAGCTCTGGGAGACAAGGGAATAGCTATCTTGCTCAAACCATGGTCAGTACCTTCAAAAGGACACTGGGTACGCATACTTCCTTTTCTAATCACTTTTGGAAATGGCTTGCTAACTGCTTTTCAGCTATTAGGAACCTTTGGATCAACAAGTTTCACAGCACCAGGTGAGTTTCCTTCAATCCTTAGCGAAAGAAGTTTTAAATACAAGTTAAAGACTTAAATTTTCTTCTTTTGGAATAAACAGCAAAAGAGTGATTAGAACTTTGATTTTGGAAAGTTACAAATGGACTAAGGGTTCAGATAAGATTTGAAATATGATTTTGGAATTAATTATAAGAATCCTTCCCATGGCCAAATGGTTTTATTTTGAATTCTCTTTTAAAAAATGATAGGATGAGACTTTGAAGGTTGGGCACCAGAGGGAGCCAGAAGGAACTAAAGATTACAATTAAAGGAGAACATTTAAATTTGACTTACTAATACAGAATGAAGCAATATATTTTAACTTTGGACATATTGGAGGATATTTTTGTACAATGGACCCAGAAGTTAATTTTAAGAGTGTCTGTCTCTACAGGTAGTCTGTGTTTAAAAGATGTTATAGAAGAGGAACAAATTTTACCTGACAAGATTGAGACTGATCTGAAAGTGGATTT